ATAGAAGAAAGCATTTCCCAGTCCTGGGCAGTCCTCACAGCTGTTACATTTGAGCCTGTTGCTGCTACCACTGTGCCAATCCATCTTGTTGTGGGTCTTCTTCTTTTTCTCCGACCCTTCTTTTTACCAAGCATGATGTCTTTCTACAGGGACTTGTCCTTCCTGATAATCTGTCCAAAGTGAGAGAAACAAAGTATCACTATGGTTGCTTCTAAGGAGCATTCTGGCTATACTTCCTGCAAGCCAGCTTTGTTTGTTCTTCTGACAGACCATGGAACTTTTTCAGTACAACACAGTAATTCAAATGCATCAGTTCTTCTGTGATCTCCTTATTCATTGTCCAAATTTCATGTGTATATGTGATTTCCGCATTCTACTGGGTCACCTCTCTTTGGAATGAATGCAAATATAGATCTCTTCCAATCAGTTAAGTCAGATCTCTTTCAATCAGTTTGGTACATATCTATGCCAAATTTCTTGGCATAGATAAGTGAGTGCTTCAGTGCTTTATCAGTTTGTTGAAAGATTTGAATTAGAATTCTATCACTTCCTGGAGACTTGTTTTTTGCCAATACCTTCAGTGCAGTTTGCACGTCTTCCTTCGGTACCATCAGTTCTTGATCATATGCTACCTCTTGAAATGGTTGAATAGAGACCGTTTCTTTTTGGTAGAGTGACTCTGTGTATATTTTCCATCTTCTTTAGATGCTCTTCTGCAGTATTCAATATTTTGCACATAGAATCCTTCAATATTGCAAGATAAGGCTTGAAATTTTTCTTCAGTTCTTTCAGCTTGAGAAATATTGAGCATGTTCTTGTCTTCTGGTTTTCTAACTTCAGGTCTTTGTACATTCCACTCTAATACTTGACTTTTTCTTCTTGAGCTGACCTTTGTATTTTTCAGGTCAGCTCTTAAACCACCTCATTTCTTCCATTTGCATTTCTGTGCTGGAGAGAGCAAGTTTCAGAGTCTCTTCTAACATCCGTTTTGGTTTTTTCCTTCTTTCGTGTCATCTTAATGACCTTTTGCTTACTTCCTGTATGATATTCTTGATATCATCCCACAATTCTCCTGGTCTTCCATCATTAGTGTCTAATGCATTAAATCTGTTCTTGAGATGGTCTGTAAATGCAGGTGGGATATATTCAAGGTCATATTTTGGCTCTTGTGGATGCGTTTTAATTTTCTTCAGCTTCAGTCTGAATTTGCATATGAGCAATTGATTGTCTGTTCCACACTCAGCCCTTGGCCGTGTTTTGGCTGATGATATTGACATTTTCCACAGTCTCTTCCCACAGCTAGTCAATTTGATTATTGTTGTATTACATTTGGTGAGGTCCTTGTGTATGTTGTTGTTGTTAAGTGCCATTAAGTCAGTTCTGACTCATAACAACCCTGAACAGTGTTTGTGAGGAGCATCTGATGGGTTTGAACCATGACCTCGTAGTTAGTAATTCAGTGCTTATCTTAAAATGATATTTGCAATGATTAAGTTATTGGTCTTAGAAAATTCAGCCATGTTATTTTCAGCATTATTTCTGTCACCAAGGC